ATTTCATATTCATTATGTGTTACAAAATTTAAGAGATATTGGATTCCATACCAAGATAAAAAAGTGTATATTATACACTATTCAAGTCGACTTCTTAAGAAACATTATTTCAAATGATGGACTTGTGATGGATCTTAAGAAAATTCAAACTATTATGGATTGGAAGATTCTAAAAAATGATAAGAGATGTCCAATACTTTTTGAGCTTTGCCAACTATTATTGGATCTTCATCAAAGACTTTTCTCAAGTTGTAGCTCTACTTACACATTTGACTTGCAAAGACAAACTTGAGTGAAACAGAGAAGCTGAAGCATCTTTTAAAGCTTTGAAGTCAACTTTTATTTTTGCACTGATCTTGTATTGCATAGACTTTTTTAAGCCTTTTTTTATGGAAACAGACACATTAGACTTTGTATTGCATGTTGTATTATCATAAATGGGAATAGATGATAAACTTCAACTAGTAGCTTTTCATTCTAGAAAATTTTGAGCAGCTAAGATTAACTATGAAATCCATGAAGTACAATTGTGGATTCATTTCAAGAATGGCGTCATTATCTAAAAGGCACTTGCAATCTAATTGTCCTATATACAAATCATAAGAAACTCAAATATTTTATGTCAGCATGTATTTTGAATCATTGCCAATTCCATTGAAACATGTCTTTATCAAGATTTGATTTCAAGTTTCTATATCAATCCAAAAAATAATAATTTTTATGAGACGCTCTTTTTAAATATTCTTATCTTGCACCAAAAGAAAGAGATGCATCTTTTGATCAACAAAGAACGATTTTCTTGAAACCAGAGTATTTTCATCTTCGAGTAATAAAATCAACATTGATTGTTGATTCAACCCTTGTGAAACAAATCCAATTAAGTATGTCTTTTGATTCTCTTATTCACAATATCAAGAATCCTTCCTCTAAGTCACAAGATACTTCTAAGTTTGAATTCAAAAACAACCTATTTTATTTTGAAGGTCAATTATATATTCCAAAAAAAAAGTATAATTACGTGTTCTTCAAGCACATCACAACTTTTTAGCAATAGGACATTTTCGATACAACAAGATTTTAGAGCTTATATCTAAAGATTTTTCGTAGCCACAAATGTTGAAAGGTGTGAAAGAATTTATTCAATCATTTGACATTTATTCAAGATCAAAAACTCCCCGTCATTGACCTTACGGACTTTTTCAACCATAATCCATTCTTGAAAAACCATGGTCTTCTATTTCTATGGATTTTATCATAGATCTTTCAATCTCAAGTTTTTATGACTCTATATTTGTGATAGTAGATTATTTTACCAAGATGGCATATTTTATAATATATACAAAATCTATTACACGTAAAAAAAACAACAAAACTCTTTCTTGACAACATATATTGTTATCATGGATTACTCAAGGATATTATATTGGACAAGAGAACTCAGTTTGTATTAAGATTTTGGCGAATTCTTTTCAAGTTTTTAAAAGTGGATACAAAACTATCTTCAACATTTCATCTTCAAATTAATGGACAAACAGAGTATATTAATCAAGTTTTGGAGTAGTATTTAAGATGTATCATCAACTACCAACAAGATGATTAAATAATTCTTTTGCCATTGGCAAAGTTTGCTTATAATAACATGATTTATTCTTCTACAAAACAAACACCTTTCTTTGTCAATTATGGTTATCATCCATGATTTGATACTTTTGACTTTTTAGAAGCTGATAATCCTATGGTGGGAGATTTGGCAAATTGTTTATCAAAACTACATGCAACAATGAAGGCATAGTTAAAAGAAGCTCAAGAACGACAAAAGATTAATACAGATATCTATCAAAAGGAACAATTACAATTCAACTTAGGCAATAAGGTATGGTTACTTTGTTGCAATATCAAGACCACTTATCATTGTGATAAATTTGACTATTATAGACTTAGACTTTTTTTCTATTTCTGAACAAGTCAATCTAGTTACATATTGATTACACTTATCAGAGTAAATAAAGATTAATCTTATATTCCATATATCTCTTCTTAAATCATATAAGAACATGAACATATTGAGAAGAAGACAAGTGCCACCTCCTCCTATAGAATTACATAATAATGAAGAATTTGAGATAGAAGAAGTCTTCGATTCAAGGCGGTGTTGAAATAGGTTGAAATATCTTGTTCATTTGTGTGGATATGATATTAGTGAATGCACAAGGAAGCCAGCAAAGAATCTTATAAATATAACAAAGAAAGTAGAAGTTTTTTTTATTGACAACATCGATCAAAACCAAGATGAAGACCTTTCTTATAAAAGAAACAAGATCTAGGTAAGATAACATTCTACCTTCTATATTTGTTTGTAATGCTTGTGTATTCATGATGCTAAAAAAATAGAGAACCAACAGCAAGCAGATTCAACTTAGGAGCCTTCATTTGCTGACTTGTCAAACAAGACATTGCGATTGTCACAACCTTCAAGACAACATAATCAAGATGAAGATTCTTAAAAACAACATGTTTTTTCTCAAATAGATGGTAAAATACAATGCGTTTGGTATCACAACTTTAAGAGAGACTCCTCATGTTTGGTAATTTTATTAGAGGTAGGAACAATTCTTGACGATATTCCAAATTTTTTATTTGAAGGAAGTTATAAAGGCCTCAACAATGATCAAATAACAAGGTGGTCTTCTTCTCCTAGTATGGGATACTATCAATAGTTGAGAGGCTCTATCAACCATCTTCGAAGAGAATAAAGATCTGAGTATGTGGCAAATATAATTCATCGCATCATAGATTTTTTCAACATATGATGACCACTCCTTGTGGAACTCGTCCCTAGAAGGAGGGGTAATGTCAAGGACATACACATATAAGCCAGTAACTACCTATATAAATAGATAGAAGTAAGTAGAAATAGATAAAAATAAATTAATTCTATAATATCTTCTATAGAAGCTTCTTAAAAACTTTATAGATATTGCTTTAAATTTATAGGTATTTATTATTGATTTTTTGGATTAGAAACATGGTCAACAAGTTGGCCATGTGCCACACATATTGTTAGCTTGAAGACCAAGCTAATTATGTAGTCTATACATAAAAAAACTTACCTTGTAAGTTAAGGCATGTATCCTACAAAGTCAATACATATTGGAGGTCCTATAGAACATCACCATGTAGCCCCATTCAAAAGAATTATTCATGTATTATCATTTGTTGATTTATTAAATAAGACATTGCAATTGTTACAAATTTGAAGATGATACAATAGAAATAAAGGACCTTAAGAATGACATGTTTTTCATCAAATATTGGGTGAAATACAACATGTTTCGTATCATGACCTTAGAAGAGATTATTGATGTTTGGTGATTTTATTGAAAATAGGAACCATCTTTTAAAGTATTACAAATATTTTATTTGAAGAAAGTTAAAAAAGTTTCTATAGTAATCAAATATCAAAGTGATATTTTTATTTTGGTATAAGATACTATCAATTGCTACAAAGATCTATCAACCACCTTCAAAAAGAATAAAGATGAGACTATGTAGCAAATACTATTTATTGCATTTTTGACATTCTGAATATTTAAGTATTGTTCTTCATAGAACTTGTTTCTAAAAAAAAAAAAATATTATGGATATACATATCTATTTAAATAAGAATTATTAAATAAAAAATAAATATAAATAGATTTGATATTTCTTATGGCAAAACTTTTTAAAAGCTTCAAAGTCTCATATTTGAATATATACTTATTTGTAGTTAAACAATAGGTTAGCCACATGTTATATATGACCACTAAGTTAGACACATGTTGTACATGCTAGTAGCTTGTGATTTAAGTTTACCATGTAAAACATTTATAGGAAACTTGTTTTATAAGTTAGATACATGTTGGAGATTCTATAGAATGTTGCCACATAGCTCTTAGTTAGACAATATATATGGAGGTAAGAATGAAGCCTATTTTATTCTTGTCAATGCCTTTTTAGTCCTTAGTCTTATTTCAAGTCTTTATAATATTCTTTTTTTTTTTACAATAGATATTCCAATCTTAACTCTATATTAGTTTTGAGTGAATATCTTCTTCTTTTTTTTTTTTTTTTTTTTTTTTAGTAATACAAGAATGTATTGAGTTTTTATTTGTGTGAAATTCATATCCTTGACATGCGATACATTTTGAACTTCTTACTATCCAAAAAAAAGATTTAATATCATTAAAAAGGATTGAATTTTTATTGTAAAGAATCTAAGCACATTACTTCATATTATTCAAAGAAGTAATATAACCATAAAATATAAGAATTATTATGAAAGAAGATAACATATCAATTAATAAGTTTTTCTAGTGTGAACTCAAATAAATTCCTATTAATTGAAAGCCTATTCTAATTTATAATTATTTATTTATTTATTTATTTAATCTTATATTTTATAAATAATATTTAGTCTAATAATTTCACTAATTCTTTAGTTGTGAGTTAAATAAATTCTTTTATTCGATGATTTATTTTAATTCAAAAATACTAATTAATTTATGAAAAGATTTAACAAATTTCCTCCTACTTCTAACTAAGAACTTAGATCCTTTAATTAATTCAATTCAAACTTACACAACCTACCACAACAATGCAAGCTACTTCAATTAACTAGCAATAGTTCCAACCTTGAAAGAGAACTTTTTAAGTGATTTTATTTAATATTTGTTGGATTTTTATTTTTATTTTTATTTTAAGAATAATTATCTAGTATTAATTATCATCTAAAAAACAAAAATTTATCCAAGGAAAATTTTCATCTACAAATGAATTTTCATCTATAATTGAATTTTCATCCATAATTGAATTCTGATCTATAAATGAGAATTCAATTATTGATGACCAACTTTCATCCATATATTTTCATCTATATTTAACCTAAGTTTCAATCACGTTTAAACCAAATTGTTTCTAGTACAAGTGGTTCATGCAATATCCACTCATCTACTCCATGCACATGCAAAAAATGTCAAGTCAAATTGAATAACAAGAACGAGTTGTTGAAATTGAACTCAACAGTTTCCAAATTCCAAAAAAGTCACAATGGGCTTTAATAACCTCTGCCTCCTACCGCTTGTCTCAAAGATCAATCGAAGATGATGAACTAGAGGTGAGAACGATACTCCTCCTCCGACTTCCACCGAATTGGCTCCCTGCTGCAGCTCCGTGGTCTGCTCCACGAAGCACTAGGACCTTCAAATGGGCGGTTCGTTGATGTTGGATCTCCAACACGGTATTTCTTTGTGTAGAAAAATCACCTTGTAACTCAGCTTGTGAATTCCATCGCGGCCACTAGATTCGAGCCCACAAAAAATCGCAACTGGGCAGAGAGTGGACCGATTCCTGTTGCTGTTGTCTCCTTTATTTTTGTTTTCCAACTTGCAATTAAAAATCGGCTTCTGCTTACAAAATCCACCCTAAGATGATACAATGTGCAACTACATTTATACTCTCAACTTTCGACTCTATTGGCTCAAAAAGATCTACAATACACAAATGTATACTACTAGTTGACACGTTCACTCCCTGTGATGACTATGCTCTAGCCTTTGTCTAATTCTGCCAGAACTCTAAATCGCACGAAGCCTCTTCAACAACATTTGCCGTAGAAGGGAAACTCTACAAATTGATTCCAACAGCTCAATGTTGACGATTGATCAGATTAGAAGAACGACGAGTTGTGGGAGTTGTTTGTTCATCCACTAAAAGAACCAACTCAATTGGATTCGATGAGGAATTATAACCTTGGCTCAGCACCGCACAATCCATACCATGCTGCAATCACAGTACCAAGGAACGAGAGCTCCTCTGCAACACCTTGTCGTTACTGACCATATACTACTACAAAACTAAAAGGAGAAATATCCACAGTTCATCAACCTTGATTTGAATTCAATGACACCTCCAAGTTGTCAATGTTGATCACTTACTCCAACCAACTAATCGTCACTTGTAGATACACCCTTGAGCTTGAAGTACGAGTATGTGGAAACATATAGAAGCTCAAGTAGAATCACACACCAATACCAACAACACTCCCCTCAAAATGGCTCAAAGAAGTAGCACAAGAGCCTTGATCTTCTAGCACCACAACGTGGAATCATCCGTCATCGCTGTTGGGACTGCAAGCAAAGAAGAAGAAGAACACGTTCAAACTCCAAATGGCAGACCAAAATCCGAGCTCCGTAGCAATCCCGCGATTTGGACCATGCAGTAGCTCATTATTTCTCAAACCAGTCGGAACTCACACAACCAATTTTTGAGTTCTCCCTATGCAAGGGCAACTACAATCAGAAAAAGAAATTGCAACAATAGCCGCACAATGCAAATCAGGAAGAAGATTGCAACACAACTTTGCTTTTGCCCACTGAGCCCTCGCAGACCACATAAAAGAGGGGAACAATAAACAGAAAAGAACCTCTAGCCGCAACTTCCAAAAATTGTAGAGCTCTGCAATACAACCAGAAATGAGGGGAAAAAAAAAAGAAAAAAAAAAGAAAAGAGAAGTGCCACTAAGTAGAACTTGCGACACTGTCGCAGCATCCAGTTAGAGAGCACCAACGCTAAAGTAAAACGGAAAGCAGCTACAACAGACGTTAATCTCCAAAGCTTAGAACAGAACACAACATGGCTGCAAAAGCAAATCCGCTCCCAATAGCCAATGACAACTATGAAGCTAGGAGAACACCGCAACACGCCAAAAATGGTAGAACTCTATCCAATCACACCGTAAAAACAAAAGAAAGAGAGAAAATGAGGCCCGAGGCACACTTTGCCGGACCCTGGCAACCTCTTCCCCAAAAACTGGGATCCACCTTCACCTCCGAAAAATCGGGGAAGGTAAGGGATCTTCTTCCTTCTTTTTCTTTTCTCTTTCCTTCTCCTCTTCTTTCTCTTCTCCTCCTTATCTTGAGTTCCTTTTCTTTTTGTTTTTTTTTTCATGTTGGGTGTTTTGAATCAAGGATTTCATCTCTACTTTTAACCTAATTTAAATATTTAAATGACAATAAAATTACTACTATAAAATCAAAGATTTTTACTAGCTAAATTAAAGAGAGATTATATATTTTGGAAGTCATTCTCTAAAAAAATCTATAAGTGATCTATTGTAGCCACTAACATTCTATTAATTGCTATTTATCTCAAAATTCTAATATTAACTCCCTAAACTTGTGATTTAAAGCACAATAAGTACTTTTTTATACTAAATACCTAAGTGAATCAATTCAATGATTCACATCTAGTTATAATAAAGATCTTGCAATTATAATTTTATATAATATCTAGTGAAGGTCTTATTTTCTTTTCAAAATTTTCTTCTTATTTTATAAAAGATGTTATTTAGGACCTAAAAATCACAAAGTCTTTGCCTTTTTTGATTTAGGAGCCTTAATGTTCTTTTTAGATAAAATCTTTGTTGAAAAACATGAAATATAATTAATAGAAATAACTAAACATGTGCATGTAGAAGTCATTTATGGTCATCTTTTGTCTTCTAAATATATTTTCTATAAAATTATTTTTATAGATGTAGCAACAAATGGTTATAATAGCTTAGTGTTATTAAATATATTTAAATCTTTCTTTAATCTAATCATTTTAGATTTATCATAGATAAAGATGTATAATCCTTGAATAGATTGAATATCTCGTAGTCTTCATTTTTTTTGAAGCATAATTAAAACTTTTGCCAACCAAATAAATAGTTATAAGTTTACTAAAAATAAAATTTTATTTATAAATATAAATTTTTTTGTAAATATTACAAAAGAATTACCTCTTTTATTATTTATATTATATCTATTTCTAATAGTAGAAAGACTTTAAGTAACATTCTAGTGTAGTATAAAGCTTATTACGATATTTTTATAATTATTAATACATATATTTTTTTAGAGTATTGTCCTTATAATTACTCAAATAGCCTTCAAGAAAAAACTTAACTGCCATTTAGACTAATCTGTAGCTTATTACAAAATGAACTGATTAAATTCAAGGTGTATATTCTTAAGAACTTGGCCAAAAACTTCATATATCATTCAAAATCTCAAGTGTAATCTTTTATCTTCTTTGTGAAGAAAAAAGACAAATCACTGCAAATATATAAATTATTAAAGATTTAACAAGATAACCATTAAAAATAAGTATATTCTATCTTTAATAATAAGTTTTTTTAATTAATTAAATAAAATACATCTATAAAAATAGACCTATAAAAGTATATAATTTGATATGTATTAAAAAATATATAAATAAAATATTATATTTTGAATTATGTATGAATATTCTAAATACAATGTCATATTTTTTGAATTCACAAATGCGCTAGTTGCTTTTTAATATATAATAAATTATATTCTTTTAGGATTTTTAGATGATTTGATTATTTTTTATTTAGACAATATTCTAATCTGCTCTAAGAATATAGATGAATTTGAACTTCATATTAATCTTATGTTATAAAAACTTAAAAATACAAGATTATTTGGCAAGATAGAAAAATATGCATTTTATTCAACTCAATTTAATTTTTTGAAATATATCATTTCAAATTATGACTTTACAATGGATCCTAAGACAATTCAAACTATCATAGATTGAAATATTTTAAGAATAATAAGATATATTTAATATTTTTTAGAATTTATGTATTACTATTAGATTTTTATTATTTTATTTATTTTATTTTATAGCTCTATTTATATATTTGACTTGCAAAGACAAAATTAAATTAAAAAAAGAAGCTAAAATAATATTTAAAGTTTTAAAAATAGATTTTATTTTTATAATAATTTTATATTATATTGACTTATTAAAGATGCTTTATATAGAAATAAATGCATCAAACTCTATCTTAGGTATAATATTATCACAAATAAAAGCATATGACAAACTTTATTTAATATCTTTTTATTGAATTTTTTTTAATAGATGAGATTAATTATAAGATCCATGTCAAAGAATTTTTTGTAATTTTCAATTAATTTTAAAAATTATGCTATTATTTGGAAGATGCTTTTAATCTAATTACTGTTTATATAAATTATAAGTATCTTAAGCACTTGTCAAAGACATGAATCTCGAAGAAAGAAAATCCTTAATATACTCTTGTGTCGCTGAAACAAACTAGAAAGTCACTCAAAGATGATATAATATTGAATTAGAATGGCTATTGCCAAAAACAAGAATATTAGAAAGGTAATTGACAAGAGTGAAGAAGGCTTCATTCTTGCCTCTATATATATTTTCTAACTAAGTTACTTGGCTATATTTTATAAAACCTTCAACAGGTGTTGACTTTATTAGCCACATGTCTTGACTTGCAAAGCAAGTTATCTATGTATGCATCATATAGTTAGCTTCTACAAGCTACTATACGGAGTTAATTTGTTCCACGAGCTACCAATACATGGTTAACTTGTTGGCCAAGTTTTTAACCTACAAATACATCTAAAGTCAAAATCGCATCTATGAAGCTTCTAAAAAGCTTCCCTAGAAGATTTTATGAAATTAATCTATATTTCTCTACTTCTATTTAATCATATAAATAACTATTGAGATAAATGTATATGTCTATGACAATACTTTATGTTAAAATCTGTTTTGAATTAAAAAAAAAAAAAAAAAAAAAAATTGAAATGTATCTTTCTTAAGATTTATATTTAGTATCATTTATTAATTAAAAAAATGACAAGATTTATTTAATTTTCTTTTTAGAAATTGTCATATGGCATGATTTTTTATCTAAGAATACATTGGATACCTAGTTGTAGAAAGTTTAGCTTTAACTTATTGGCCAAATTTTAATAAGTAATATATTTTTATTATAGAAGACAAATAAATATAACAATATCAAAAGTTATTTTACTAATAAAATCCTTTTATATTTAAAATTTTTTATACATAAGGCTTTCTAAAGCATTTAGAAATGCCCTAACATCCTTTGTTATACCAAGTCATAACTAATCATTTGTCAGTAAGCTAGTTTTTTAATAAGCTCAAAAAAAATCTATCTTTATATCATAATTTTTTTATAGCTCCATATTTCCATCTTTTACATATATATATAAAGTCTTGTCTTCCAAAAATCTTTTTACTTTACATAAAATGCCCAAATTGTAGCAAAATCCTTTCAAAATATTTTTTTTCTATAAAATATTTTTTCTATCCTAACTTTATAAAATTCATATCTCTTAATCCAATAGTTCAATTTTTCTCAAATTTCTAGATAATGTAGAATTTATCTTTAAGCTTTATCAATATAAAAAAAAAAAAAAAAAAAAAAAAAAAAAACTATAAATCTACTTCCAATCAACTGGCATCTCTAAATCCTAATTTATAAGCACCTAAGTACTATTTTTCCTATATCTCAAAAATCCAAAACTTAAATTATACAAAATTTATCTATAAAGTTTATTAATATCATAATACACATTCTTAGAAATTTTTAGCCAAAATCTTGTCAAATTGCTTAAGATATAATTCAAAACACAACTACTAGTAAATCAGCCTACTTACTACCTTTAGATTATAAGTGTTGACTTCAACTTCCTATATCTTCTTCATTACAACTTAAAATTCATCAAGCAATGTGCAAAAAATATAGTCAAGAAAGTGCTTTTTTAACTCTAATTGCCAATCCTTTATTGTTTTCCATATGTATGTATTATATCTAAAAGAGTGGCAATAATTACAAAATCAACACCTTAACTTTGAGGGCCTATTATTCTTTCATGAAAACTCCAAATCACTCAAAATTTGCACCAAAACCATAGTTAAAATTCTTAAACTTCATGATCTTAGCCTCTCAATTTCAAATGCCCTCAAAAAGATAAGCATAATTCCTAATAAGGCCTCGAGCATCCTCTTTAAAGTCCATTGGAGATGCCTTTTGGCCAATAGCGATGGAGATTTTTATCATCCATCTCCATTCATCTATATGGACGTCTTAACTATTCTTTTTGCTATCAAATTCCTTTCCAATCTTTTTTCATATAAGATTTATATAATATATTATATACCAAATAAAAGAAACAAAACAAGATTTTAAGAATCATCAATGTCTAATAAAGGTGGCTCTAAATATATAAAACTATTATCAATATAAAATCAACTTCAATACTAGCCTATTTAAACTAACTATTTCAAAGTAATTATCTAAGCATATTTTGTGTCTAACTAAAATCTAATAACATGGCTCTCATTACATTATATAATAAATTATATATTAAATATATATGTGCATTATTTTCACATAGTAGCCAAATTTCAGCATGATAACATTCTTATCTTACACCAAGAGATATAGTTTTATATCAATAATGATTTTTTTTTGAAGCTTAAGCAATTTCATCTTTAAGCAATGAAATTAATATTGACTATTGATTCAATCTTTTTTGATCAAGTTCAATCAAATATATCTTTTAATTTTCTTATTAATGATATTAAAAATAATTATTTTAATTTTTATGACATTTATAGGTTTGAATTTAAGAATAATATTTTTTATTTTGAAGGATGCTTGTATGTACTAGAAAGTAAAAGACAAATACAAGTTCTCTAAACTTATCACAACTTTCTAATTAAAAGATATTTTTTAATACAATAATATTTTTAAATTATTTGTAAGAAAGTTTTAGTGGCTTCTAAAGATGTGGCATGTAAAGACTTTGTAACATAATATAATATTTTTTTAATATAAAAAAATATTCTTTTAATGAAGATTAAAACTTTTTCAACTATTTTTTATATTAGCACAACCATAGTTTTTTATTTCTAAGAATTATATCACAAATCTTCTAATCTTAAGTTTATATGAATCTATATTTGTAATAGTAGATTATTTCACTAAGATAATATATTTTATATTGTATATAAAAACAATCTTGGATGAAGAAACAACTAAAATATTTCTTGACAATAGTTATTGCTACCATAGATTACTTAAGAATATTATATCAAATAGAAGGACTCAATTTGTATTATAATTTTGGAAGACTCTTTTTAAGATATGAAGGTAGATATAGAACTATGTTTAACTCTCTATCTTCAAATTAAAAGGTAAACAATATGAATAAACTAAGTATTAGAGTTATCATATGATGTGGCATTGGGTGTCAAATTCCATTAGATGTATGTAATTTAATTTAATTTAGTAGATTTTCACCTATTTAGTTTTTTTTTGTTAGTTGAATTTGTTAATATGAAATAGGATTTGAAGACTTATGTAGAAAACCCTCTTAATTTGAAATTCTTGTTAGATCAAATCTTGTGAATGCCTTTAATAGAGATTTTTTTTTTTGAAAGATTTTGATTGATTATGGTGATTTCTCTACATATATTTTTATTCTTTAATTTTTGTTTTGTGGTATAAGAGATTATTTAACTTAGTAATATTTAGATTTTTTATCTTTTACTTGATAAGAATTTTTTTTTTATCTTCAATCTATAACATGTCAAATTGAAAATAGAATAATTAAAAAAAAAATTGTATTTAATATTTTTACATTGATGTGCTGATGGGCATTGTTTTGTTATTAAATCATGTTGCACCGTGGTATTGTGTAGCTAGATTTTTTTTTATATTTGATTGTTGAATATTTTATATATTGGATTAATGCATTATTGTGTTGCTAGTATTTAATTGCTACATACATTGATATAAAATACAAGGTTTAGTAGAGATATGATGCATCATGGAAGAGTGCGGAGTTGAAATTCTAATGCAATGTTGGCTACTACTGCAAGGTTATTATTGCAGTGGAGGGTTTTGATTGTGGTGTGGTATCAGATGTTACGGTGCTAAGTTATTACATTAATATAGGAATTATTTCATTTATTGCTATAGTGCAATGTATGTGCAGTATTAATCAATTATTCCATATAATTGTAGATGGAGTAGCTACAGATTGATTTGTCTACATTCTTGCAGTGTCATTGGAGCATACAACAAAGATTATTTTGTTTTTTTATTTTTATTTTCCTCAAAAAACAAAAAATTATGGGTATGTATGGATGTAGTTGGAATAAGCAAAAAAATTATGTTAAGTTTTTTTAAAAGTTTTTAAGGATTACTTACTTTGTGATTTAATTTTTTAGCTTTCATTCAAAATTACAAGGATTTGGTGCAGAATAAAATCCTAATTTGCATCAAAATTTACTACATTAATTTACAAGCATGTGCAAAAGTGAAGTAGTTAGCAACAAAAGGAATAACTAGTGGCAGTACTTTGCAATACATAGTGAAAGAAGACGCCTCAATTATAGAACTTATACAATCATACAATCTATTACAATGCTAGATCCACTAGGCAATAGACAATGATGTATAATCATAGGACTTTTATATATCCATACATATACACAAAATAAAATAAAATGTCCAAAACTTTTAAATTTCAAAGTTTAGAAATTCACTCTAAGAGCATACAAAGTTCAAATTTAATTATTTTTGAATTACTTTTATATGGAAGTTGCTCAAAAAAAACCAATGGTATTTTAGAATTAAAAATTAATTAATTAAAGACTATTTAAATTACTTAATAATATTTATTGTTATTTATTTTTTACTTGAGTTTTAAACTTTTTCTTATCTATATTTTATATTTTGGATTTTTTGTTGCAATCTTCTTTTATTGTCATAGCTTTTGTACTTCATAACCATCAAGTATAAGTTGATACCAATTGCTTAGTTTACTTGTGAGTTTCATTTTTGTATTGTTAGAAATAAAGATTCAATGTGGATTTTAGATTTTTGTCTTTAGTACCTTCTTGTCAAAGACATATATTACAAAGAACCAAATGGTCAATACACTCTTGAGTCATTAGAAAAGAATAGATATTGATTCAAAGATGGTATAATATTAAGATTAGAATGGCTATTAGCAAAGACAATAAGATTAGAGACTCTTAAAAGAAAACTAAAAATAAAAAAAAGTATTGATGAAAGAGAGAAATTTCTCACTCTTGCCTCCATAAATATTGTCTAATTATGAGCTATATGGCAATGTTCTATAGGATTATCTTGTAATATATACACATGTCTTGCAAATTGAATACGTATCAAATAATCTATAGAATGTTGCCACATAGTCTCTTTGATAGTATATATGGAGGCAAGAGTGAGGCCTTTGTCACTCTTGTCAATGTCTTTTTAAGATTCTTGCCTTAATTCAAGAATATTTAGTTTCTTTATGTTGAAGATTAGTAATTCTAGTTTCTATCTTATATCTATCTTTGATTTGTTTACTTTCTCTTTTTAAGTATCATAAGAATATATTTTTTTTTTAGAATTTTTTTATGATTCATATCCTTTATATGTATATAATAATATTTTATTAAAATATTTACTTATTTTAAAAATAATAACATATGTTTTATTTTTATAAAATTATTATTGTTATATTGATAGAATTAATTTTATTTTTTATTATAAATCATAATAACATATATATAATTATTATTATTATATTTTTTTATTATTTCTAAGCAATAAGTGCATTGCTATTTTTTTCTTAAAATGGTTAATTAATCAACCTACTTATAAATAGAGAGGAATTTGAACTTCCAAAATTCTTAATACTTTGGTTTTCAAGACCAAATCTTTCAATTGTTGAAACATCCATCATTATCTTAATACAATTATAGGATTGTTAAGTCTGTATATTAAAGTGAATATTTTATGGACCTTTTTGAAAGAGTATTTATTTGTTTCTATATATATTCTATGCAACCATTAATTATTTTAGGTCATATATGGTCTATCCAATCTTACATAAGCCACACACAATTTCTTTTATGTATTGTTTCAAATAGTTTTTTAATATACTTTATATGCTCATTGATTACACTATGACACTTGATATTTTAAAAAACTTGTGATTTAGTATGTAGAATCAATATATAATTTGAAAAAAAGTATATTATTATATTTTATATTATCTAATACCTTTGTGCTTTTAAGACTTCCATGTGACATATTCTTTTTTTTATTTTTGAAATTCATTTATTTTGTTTCTTTAATTGCAAAATTTACATTTTAGTCAACATTTAGTTTTTAACTCAATACACATAAAACTATTGTTTCTACCTTAATTTGAAAAATAGCACATGTTTTTGGTATACACTTTGATTTTTAGCATGTTCAAGAAGTGCTTTTTACATGTTTAAGTGATGCATTGTTGAAAATAATCATTCTTCTAACTAGGTTAATTTTTTTGGTATACACAAAATTTGAAAATTTGAAAATAAATAAATAAAAATAATCATTTTGAAAATAAGTACTCTACTAGTTACAAAGTTGTTTGCTTAAATGCATATCTCAATAGGCTTTAAAAAACCAAGATGACTGATTGTTTTTTTACATCATTCTCTGAACTCTGAATGTTTTTAGAAAAATTATAATTTGCAAGTTCCAATGATTTGATGATTAATCATCAATAATGTAATATTTGTTGTTTTAAAAAATGTGCCTTCTTATTTAAAATAGAAGTATTTTGATGGAATTTTTTCCACTCACATGTATAAATATATATATATATATATATATATATATATGTTTTCATTTACATGCTTTGTGTAGAACGACTTCAAATTGTAAAACAGAAGGAAATCATATTTGTTTGACGTGTAATCGATTTTGGATTGTTTCAACATGATAAAGTTACACAAGAAATGAAAATATCGCCTTATAAATCCAATTTCAATGAAATTGCAGACCTCCTAACACCATTCTAGTTCATGAATGGGAATCTTCAACTACTTTTGTTTGCCATGCACGGAGCTAGAAAAAACAATCAATCAATCCACAAAAATGGCTATATTTCAGACAAAAGATGCTCATTATCCAGTTAAAAAAACACACGAGTTATTACTACCCATAAACAGAAACATAGGATTATTTATTCACGAACTCATGTGTCCCCAAGGGACGCTTGAAATGACACTTTTTTCAAATGATGAACATCAGAAAGGCACAAAACAAAAATTGCAATAAATGTTATTGCACAGGTCGCTACATCACTTCCTCGTCCACAGCGCCTCCACCTTTTTCGCCAATGATTCCTTACCCACAACATTAACTTAAAAAAAAGTCTATAGAATATGAACAGAAACCCTTCAGTTGTCAAGTTACAAAAAACATAAAAAAAAAAAAAAAACAAAACAAAACAAAAAAAAGAAAAGAAAAAAGATAGTGGTAAGATTGTGCTGTTGAATTAGGTTGCGCAGTTGCTTCATAGAAAAAGGACACCAAGCTCCTACACATGGATTTGTGTTGTATTATGGGGAGCGCAGAAGCAAAGAGTGGAAGTTACTAAAAAAGGATGTGATGCACAAGCAGCAATTTTGGGAACAATGATTAAGGGTCAAATGCTGACAATAGCATGTGACCCGTAGTTTACATATTAGCCTCCAAAGTAACCCCCTTAAAAAGGACCCAGCTGGCGTGGATTCTATCCAAATATGATAGGGCCACTCCCCAAATGATTCCAATCAAACTGGAAGGAAGGGGAGCAACGGTGGCGGTTGGGAACCCCCTAACGTGGCTGTGTGAATAGGGACGAATTGGGAATTAGGGCTCCAAGCCCATCCAGAGTTATCTCCGACTGTGTTCATCGCAATCGCAGTAGCAGAAGCACCAGCATTGACGTGAATTTGCTTGTTGGGTTGTTTTTTATTTTATTTTTCATGTTGTCGCGGAGTGCTGTAGTTCAGCGTCCTGAGCCGCCCCCCTGCCCCATCTTTCACTTGTTTACAGCTCGCACTTCGAACCCCAAGGCCTCCGGACGCGACTGTCTGACGGATTTGGTGAGGCTTGGTGGTAGCCTCGACAGGGAGGCTGTTTGTCGAGAAGGTCGAGTTTGGGTGGGGTTGGTCTAGGACGCCAGGGTGCTGCACTGTTTACCGAGATGAGTACAGGCAGGGGCGGCGGCGGCGCCGTCGTCGACATCCCAGTTAGCACGAAGAAGGTGGTGCAAGACCTCAAGGAGGTGGTCGGGAACAGCGAGGAGGAGATTTATGCCATGCTCAAAGAGTGTAACATGGACCCAAACGAAACCGTGCAACGGCTGTTGAGTCAAGGTACGCTCCGAATGCGCGCCTGAATTCGGTCGGCGCGATCGTTCTTGTGCTCTGCGGATGGAACCTAATGCCGCGCAGTCAATGGTTAGTGGGTTGATAGTTTTGAGCGTAGAGGTGCGCGACGGGGGCCGTGATCAGGTAGGATTGGCCCTCCGTGGGCAGGTCTATCCGTAGGGCCTAGCCTCGTCGTTCTCTGCATGATTGGGTCCCGAACCCGGTCACCCGTGCTGCTGCAAATTGGGAAATCCGTGCTTGCGAGTAATCGATTGAATGTCGGTGCAATGTTACAATGCTCTAGTTTGGGTGTTTGAGCTCGGTAGTGAGTTGGATTCCATGCTTGGTGGAAGGAACACTGCGGTCGTCTTGTGCCATGGCTGGTTGAAAATCCCCGAGCTTCGACTTCCTTGAGGAATAGACTTAACATGAGACTCCAACAGCAGGGTGATACTTGGCGCGGATTAGAGCATTTGGGGAGTTTTTAGTAATGGTGTATTTCTGGCGTGAACAGGGCTTCGCATTATAGGGTTCGACATGGACCAGTTGATTTATTTTGTCGTGGTCGAATTTTATTTGTTATGAACCCCAGTGGACGGGCAGGAAGTAGTTTAGGGCTTTTTGGCATCCCAGTGATTAAAACCCTTCGTAATTGGGCCGTGAATCAGTGCACCTGAGGTGTCAACGAGGGTGATAGTTTTGTGGGTGGCGGGTGGAGCCTTTGACGTGTTGGTATTTTCTTTGGGTTATTGTGGGGGGCAGGGGTATTGGGGCTGTTTCCTTACACACGCACCGCTACTGTGAAAAAAATTTGGACCTTTTTACTGCAATTTAGACTTTGCTTCATTAGCGAGGTGTTGATTTGGCAAAGCATTAGGTGGGTGCAGGGTGAGTGAATCGAGGTGCTAACGGTGGGTTTGATGATGCCAGATTCGTTTCATGAAGTGAGGAGGAAGCGGGACAAAAAAAAAGAGGTGAGAAACAGTGGAGGTTTGGAGCTGAGTATTGCTATTATAGTTCCTGAAAAGAAAGCTGTGTGTGAATGTTGGGAGCGTTTCGGTGAGTCTGACACTCTGGTGCATGATGGTACACAGCGGAGTGGAGGAGCGAAGGACAGGGATGTTGACATGATGGGGCGTCCTGGGAGTGGTGGTTACACCAGGGGAGGTGGGCGTGGTGGTGGTGGTGGAAGAGGAGGTTCTCTGCCGCGTTACAGTTCACAAGGTGAGTGTTACTGCTCATTTCATGTTTCCTCTCTCGTTGAGCAGGCTAAGGTATGCAGGGGAATGCGTCGAATGTAAAGAATATGTAAAGGGTCGTAAATGAAGACAGCAGATGAGCCAGGGATTTCATTCTCCTTCGTCCAACGATTGAGCTGCGTTGGCAGGGTGATGGATGGAGTTTCATGATGTGGATTCTAAGGACAGTTATGCAGGCGAGGGTAGTGGTACAAGTTTGGTCATCTTTACAATCAGAGAAGTGCGTGTCGCGGGAACGTCTTTCATGGTGAATGTATTGATCAACGAATTCTATGCAAAGAATGCTTGGTGTTTGTTTGAGGAAATGGATTGGCACGGGGGGGGGGAGCGGGCGATGTAGTTTATGGGCACTGTTAGAATGGTAGCTCCGAGAGTGGCGCGGTGGGTTTTTGGGGAAGGGTGTTATGATTTGTGCGGTTTGTTGGGCTGTTCAGAGTCCCCTGGTGGGCGAGGTCGATCGTATGGGAGAGAAAATGGAATTCATTCTGGTTCACAAAGTTCGAGCACGTTTTCAAACTCGAGCCCTGCACACGGTCCCGCGAAGCCGTCGGCTTCGGCGCCGAGGTAAGCGCGAGATACCAGTTAACGAGTCGTATGGGAGTGTAATGCCACCATTTCACGCAGACGTTGAGAGCGCTATGTGCTACATTCTTAGGTCAAGCTCTGTTGTGGGGCGTCTTTTTGGTATAGTATATTGTGGCAGACCAATTTGGGATTCTTAGCATTGGCCTTGTTTTGGAGTTGTGGGGTGTAGTTTGGGTTTGATCGTGTTGTTGAGCGGGGGTGGTTGGTTGGTCAATACAATTTTTGAGGCATTGGTTTCTGGAAATGGATCTTTGAGTGGCGTGGTTGTGAGTTGCAGCCCTGTGCCGGCCGCAACAGGCGCAGCACTACCAGCTCAAGCCCTGAATGCAGGCAGCGGAAGCTCAGCAGGAGCAGCAAATGGAATCAGCGGAAATGTGAGACCCTCACCAGCCCCTCAAGGAGCATGGGCGTCAGGTCACAGTACAATGGCAGATCTATTAAAAGGACGAGCAGCTCATCCTCCACCTCCCTCGAGCTTCCAAGCCCCTCCAACTCCCCCAATCGTTCCGGCCGTCCAAGCGGCGGTGACGCCGTCGTATCCAGCAGCCGCAGCCCCTGCGGCAGCATCTATATCCTCACCGGAGTCGTCGGAGTTTTGTTCGTCGACTGCGGACCCGGTGCTACTAACGTCGATAGATTCGCAGGCCCTGGATGCAAAAGTTGCAATCCGATCGGTGGGCAATCAGCTGCCGATCGGAGACCAGCCCGTAAGTTCGACGGAAACAGAGGTGACTATAAATTCAATCGCAGCGTCACCATCCGCTCAAGCAAGCGTTAATCCAGCGGACATAGAGCCTGGACACCTAGAGACTGAGGTGGAGGTGGTGGGAGCGCGACCATCTTCTCCCTCTGCTGCGGCAGCGACTGCACCGTCGAATCCAGATGCGATCGTGGACGAAGCTGCCTTGAGGATGGAAGCCGGCAACTCGCAAGGACATGCGTCAATTAGCGTACTTGGCGGGAGTCAGTTTAACGGGCGGCCTTTGTATGGATCCTTGCAGCAGCCTGTGGGCACTCAGAAAGGTATGGGTGCGTTGGATATTTTATGGACGACCGGGGGACTGGGGTTTTCTTTTTGGGATGCAGGGATGTTGGTTGGGCCGATTTGATGGACTGTCGGGCATGGTTTTGGAACTTGCAGTTGCGGGGAGCGGTGATTCGGAGTGGACGACCAATGCCCCAGGTCATAACTTGCTAGGAGTGTCATCGGACGGTAGTTCTCAGGGTCTGGATGCCGTGGACCCCACGAGCATAGCACAAGCTTACCATTCTTTGAGTATACAGGATGATGAGCCGGTGATCATACCGACGCATCTCCGAGTGCCGGATGCTGACCGCTCGCATCTTAGCTTCGGCAGCTTTGGGGCCGATTTCGGGACGAGCTTTGCGCTTGCAGAAGTGCAGGAGAACAAGAAGAACGTTGAGACAATTGCAGCGGAGGAGGCTCCCATCGAGCTGTCTCCTCCATCAAGGTGAGCTCGTGAAGTTGAGGTTGAAATGGGATCTGTAGCAGCGTTGAGTGCATCATACTTGGGTTATGTAGGAGCGCTTTCGTTTTTGTGGTTCGCCGGTAGGTGTGAGTGATTATTGGTGCAGTGAGAAGGTTGTACGGTGTGCATGCGAGCTGATAGGTTATCATGGGTGATTTCCAGCGTTGAAGCCCAAGTGCAGACGGTTCAGTCGTATGGGCTGCAGCAAGTGCCGACTCTGGTGGAGAACATGACCACGACCGTGGAGGCGCCATCCGTGGTCCATCAAGCTCCTGTGGTTCCAGTTCAGGAGCAGCACACGAAAGCTGACCCTGTGGTGCAGCAGACACCTTATTTCTTGGGGGCCTCAAACTACCCTGGGTTTGGGCGGATGCCACATATCCCCGGCAGTCAATATGGGTACGAACAAGCGGAGTCGGTACCTCAAGACGCACCTCGTATTCCAAACATAATGGTAGGTGATGAGCATGTGGGGCTGCGCGCTGTGTTTAATTGTTCTCTATTTTCTGCCCTTCTTTCTGTTATGGAGCCTGGCCGTGGGTTCAGTTTCACTTGCCTAGCTTGTTGGAAGTATGTGAATGAGTATGTGGTTGAAACGATTCATGGCCTGATTGGCTTGCTTGATGCCGCTGTTGTGATGTTACGCAGCCGACATACGATCCGACGACGAGTTACTACACTTCAGCATTCCGGGGAGCAGAATCCGATCGGCTGTATTCTCCCTACGCTCCGACTTACACCGCAAGCAAGTATTCTGGGAATATTGGTCTGATGGCAGCTCCATCCCTTCCATCATCTCAGGAGGTGAGGGATCTGGTTTGGAATAGGAAGGATGCGGCTCTGATGTTTTTGAGGAACCTGTGTTCTGAGAGACTTTCATGATGCGATTGTGATAAAGAGGGTTGTGTGGTTGTGCAGCGAGGGAATGCGATGCTAGCTTCTACAACACCCAGTGTGAGTGTTGCGCAAAGTTCGCAACCGGGAAACAACGTGCAGACTACACAAGTGATGCCCCAGCAGGCTTTGCCGATGCATTACTCGCAGCCACCTTCGGGGCACTTCGGGAACTACATGGGTTACCAGTACATGCCGGCTACTTTTCCTTACTTGCTGCCTTCGTATTCGCACCACGTTCACAACTCGAGCAGCGCATCCTACGCTCAGCTTCCAGCAGGTTCCACGTATACTCCTGCAGCAGCGGTATCTTCTTACCCAGCGAGCGGAGCGGCGGCTGTGAAGTTTCCGATGCAACAGTACAAGCCTGGGGCAGGGGCCGGAAACGCTCCTCATTCTGCGCCAACCGTAGGATATGGAGGTTACACGACCACGCCTTCAGGATATGCGTCGAGTCCTACTGTGACAACCGGAACTGCTTCTGGGTACATGGACGTGAACACATCGCGTTACAAGGACAGCACCTTGTACATTCCGGGTCAGCAGGTATGGCGATGCGCTCCAAATGTTGTGAGAGTGCAGAATAAGGGTGGGTGCGTTGACATGGTATCTGTGAGTCGGTAGGCGCAAGCGTCTTGTGTTGCATGCATATTTAGGGATGGTTTGATGGTTTTGATTGTTGTAAGTTGGATTATATTGGTGAATGCAGTGGGCTGTGTGGCGCAGTCGATGAGGCGTTTTGAAGCGCCGAGAGACGGATCTAATAGTGTAGATGTTGTTTGGCAGCAGGGAGACAGTTCGACGGTTTGGATACAAACAGCGATGCCTCGAGACATGGGACCCTCCGGGGCCATGCAGACGAGTTCATACTACAATTTGGCCGGGCAAGGTCAGCACAGCGGATATGCGCACTCTCAGCAACAACCCACGCACGGGCATGCGCACCCAAGTGCGGCGTATGCCAACTTGTACCATCCGTCTCAAACAGGGCCGGCCCCAAGTCACCAGATGCTTCAACAGCCCCAAAGCATGGTAGGCGGAGGGGGGAATAGTCAAGCCGGAGCGTTCCAGCGTACACAACAGACATGGAACAATTCGAACTATTAGTGGGCTGGCGTCATGTAGTATGTGCGAACGCGCAGATTTGATGTGATTTCGGTGCGTTTGGTGTGCTGGGGGGTTGCTGACTGCCTTGGCTACATTGATACTCTCCACGCCAATTCTAGATGGTGGCAGTGTAGCAGATGGGATTGTTGTTGAATAGGCAGCTTGGGAAGGCCGAGAGGGGTGGGTAATGGCACATGAAGAGTGTAAATACAAGTTTGACGATAACAGTAGGATGGGTATGGCGGATTCAACCGTTGTCCTTGCCACAAATTTTGAATCACTGGCACACAATGAAACTGTTAAACTTTGAGCTTTTACTCGCTTAGGAGATCCACAGGCGATGTGCAAATGTATGCGTAAATATTTGGGAGTGGAGTGCAAAGCCAGGTTAGTGTCCATGAACTCCTGTTGGCAACGTTGCTTATGGTGAAGCGTCAGTCATCCAAAATCCTCATGAGACATTCTGTAAGCTAAAATTTTGATTTGCTATGTTGTGGCATCATGATATTGTTTTAGGACGAGTGTGGAACTGTTTTTAGTTCATTTGGTTCAGGTGGAGTATAGTTTAAGAGCCGATATGAGAGTCTCAAATAACATTCAGCTACACTTCATCGATTTGGGAACCTGTCTTCGAAACAATTCGTTGTTGAATCGTCTGCTAAGTTGTAGGGTAAGTACGATCTATGTACACTGAAGAGCAATATGAATATGTTACCAAATTTTAGCATGTTAAATTCAACATGTACGGGACACTTCTTTTACCACAAAAGATTGACAAGCACGATTATTTAAAATTCCACTCCTTCCAATACTATTTGTGATAATCACTGAAATGCAACAACCCTTAATTTGTGTGAGTGTTTACTCTCAGACCGTTCAGCAGCACATCCTTGCGAGTTGGTGATGACTAATTGGAAATCAAATCTGAATTTCTAAGTTTCAAAGTCGATTCAAAATATCCCAATATGAATTTGGGTCATCAAATCTCATTTGCAGAAAAAGATTTTGTCATGTCACTGTCATTTAAACAGCGGGGAGAAGAAGGAAATGCCAAGAAATTGTCTTCCGCTGTATACATCTTCATTAGTCTCTGGAGGCAAAATGTAGACGTGATTCTATAAATACTATTCATATCAGTATAACGAGGGTATCTGAACTGAATCGACAGAATTGTCCCAAGTTTGATGGCCTAGGAAAAGAATGTCGTCACATTTCCCACTTGCATCATCAACGCTCCTGTGTCTCACAAGTTTGCTGATACATCCCGGTGACATCCTACACACAAAGGAATGCTACCATTAGGGACGAAAGACCAGAGTACCAACAAAAAAGATCAAGTATATCGTGCCCCATCCAAACACATGGCAATTCTCATGGAGGCACAAGCTATGACGCTTGCAAATACGAGATGAATCAGACAGGCCATTTCGACAATGCTCTCTTGAATGGAGTAGATGCGGGCCGCAGCAACTTCAAAATTTGTGAAAAGGCCCAGAAGAGCGTTATCACATAATAAGGAATCAAATAAACCTAAAAGCTAATGGTGGACATAAAGTTCAAGATTAAGAAACGAAGAGAATTGATCTGCTTCGCACCGAACGGTGCATCCACGTGCAGAGATGGGCTAATACTCTGGGCAACAGATTCTCGCCCACAGAGGAACCATCACTCAAGCATAAAGAACCCCAAGGAAGGAATAATATCAGCCGATCCTCGTAAAATGATTATCGTATACTAGAATAATCACAACAAGCGATACGAAAGAAAAACAAGAAAAAAGAGAACAAGAACAACAACCACATCTACTCAGAGAAAATAACAGAAAAGAGTACCTCACTTAGACGATCCGATTCTCTCAGACCTTGAGGAAACTGAGACGTAAAGGCTTACGCGCCAAGCTTTCTCATCCATGAAAGTATAGAACAACATTCCATTTGAAATTGAAAGAGGACAGGCTGCACAATGACAATAGTATTAACTACATTAAACAATGAAGAAAAGTCACATGAAATCCTTTTCCAACTCCGCCAAAGATTTTCCCTTAGCAGCAATATCCTTGTTAGATATCTTATCCTGAACCATGAGTTTTGTGTAGCTCCGCATTTCTGCCTGCTTCTCTTTTTCCAGCCGCTCTATTTCTTCTCGACGATTCTGCGAACGGTTTCAAAATCATTAAAACTTGAGTATCCAATAATCCCCAATTCTTAGATCCAGATATTCAACAGAGCGGATGAAAAATGCAAAAACAGTATCCCGTCCTGATACTCTCTAAGACATCTCTACCAATAATTAAGGGTTTCCTCTAGGAATAAATTCACTTCGACTTGACTGAAAGTTACGAGTTGTGAACAAGTAGAAATGGTGCACTACTGAAGTTGTTGATGCTAGAAATGACTAATCATGCCCTCCAACAAGGAACAGATGCAATGCATATTCTAAAGAAATATGAAAACGTCCAAAGGCAAAGGGATAATACCTTGTCCTTGAGAAGTGCCTTCCGTTCATTTCTCTCTGCAGCGTTGTAGGCCTCCCTTTCAGCTGCATTCAGCATATTCACCGAGCATGTCTATGATTGGCATCAAAAGGAGGCACTTTGATTTGTACAAAATGTGTTAGCTAGCAGAACAAAACACTGTAAATAGATCAAAGACACGGAAACAACTGCATCTTTCAAGTCTGGTGTTTCTTCGGTATTGGTCTTGTTCAACCGATTCACGATTTCGTTCTTGGGTGTCTCAACCCTGACTGTCCGCACCTGCCAATAGAGTACCAACTCAGCCCAATTCAAGATCCATGGACCCGACCACATCAACAATATACCTAGCTCTGCTGAAAACAAGTGAAGAGTCCACTAAATCTTACAAACTTAGAGTTGTGGAAGCCAACTTGGCCAACGTCCATGCTTTGAGTCTTCCTCAGGTTGTACCACGGTGTGTAAACAACGTTCAAGTTGTTGAGCTTGTTCTCTACACAAGGTACCATCTACCTGTCCATTAGACTAAACCTCAAGTGTGAAAACACCCACTTGATTACAAGCAGCGTATGAAATAGTTCTTCCCACAACTCACACAACGTAAAACGTATATCTAGAACCTGATTCTAACTACATACCTTGGATGGAGTTGGCCTTTACGAGCTGAGCACAATCTTCTAGAAGTTCAGGGCTGATCATCTCCATGGTCTGGCCCTTGGGCATTCTGAGGTAAACATGAGCAGATGACAATTTATCCACATGGAACCTCTACCAATAATTCAACCCCTCATTATTGTTGCGACGATTGCAATTCCTTGTCCTAAATGGATTCAAGGCAATATAAAAACTACTGAACATCTGTCTCATATCATTCGCTAGAGATAGAAAACCCTCTCCTGACTCCTGCACGGAAGTGGGTCCACATTGCAAAAATATTTCAGCAGAAATCTGCCTATACAGTCGCAAAAGCATTGCACGTCGTCACAGCACCTTTAGTAACAAAAACAATAACAAGTAAATTGCGCATTAACCAGAAAAAAACTTTACTATCTTCGATGCTGAATGCTTCAAGTAAGCTTGTCACAAATTGAGTCAGGCTCAGAGTGCAACTAATATTTCCGTTCCCTCACAAGTGTCACGCTCCTCACCAAGGCTGTCAAGGCCGCTAAATTCCGTAATATATACTCGTAAGCCAAACTAACCAGCCATATACAACTGAAGGAGATCAAAGATGATCGACCTTATCTTTCATCTAGCAGAGAGAACATGAAATGCCAAAAAATCACACATAAACTAGAAGAAAACGATGGAAATCAATCAGCCGATCATGGAGAATCCAACTAGCCTTATCACACATCATTTGGAGGTTGTTTGATACTTTAGAATGATAATCTTGGAGGTTGTTTGATACTTTAAAATGATGTTTTAGAACACTAGTTTTGTATTTCTTTGTTAATTTACATAATTTGTGATCAAACATTGTGGTTTTATGTGGTTTTATGTGATAAACTTCTCTTGAGATCCTCTTATAGTGATAAGAAGTGTTTTGTGAGGTTAGAAGTATTTCATGAGAAAAGATGGGTGATTGGAGGGTGGCAAAGCTTATATAAAAGATTAAGATAGAGTATAAGACTTGTGAAAAGTCTTATAAGTGAAGTGGAGAGTGATTAAAGAATGAAATCACTTGTTTATTCACAAAGTGGGTATTTTAGATTTCTAAAGCAGCAACATCTTCTTGTTGATTTTGAGAGCTCTTTCTTCTCTTTTTTTGATTCTTTTTGAATCACCCCTTTGTTACATAAGTTTCAAGTGAAGGTGATGGTTTAAGAAAGATTGAGACGTTTAGAGGTGACAACTTCTACCATTGGAAGAAGAAAATAGAGCTTTTGTTGGCTTCATTGGATCATTGGAATATTGTAGATGAAAGTGAAGAGCCTCCAAGTGATAATGCTAATGTCAAGTTGATGAAAGAATACAAATGTTGTAAAAGAAAGGCTTTTGATATAATTGCATCAAATTTGGATGATGTCAATTTTTTACATGTAATTGCTTATAATAAACTAATAGAAGCATAAAAGACTCTTTGTAAAATGTAAATAATATTTGTGATAACTTTGATAGAAATAACTATGCTTTCATAGTAAGTGAAGAAGCCTTCATGGTTGCTATATCTAAGTAGATTATAGATTCAGGTGCTACTAAGCATATGATATTATATAAGTATTCATTTGATACTTATAAAGAATTTTCAATAATCAAAATTTGGTTGGAAGACAATGGCATGGTACAAGCCATTAGAATTGAATCCATTATTATAGAAATTTTTGTGAAAGACCAAATTAAAAGAATCACATTGAAGGAGGTCTTACGTGTGCCAAAGATGAAAAAAAAAACTTTCTTTCAATGAGCAAACTTATATGACATGGTTGTAAGATTCAATTTAATAAGAATGGATGTTTTGTGAAGACATTAGGTGGACAATATGTTGCCAAAGGCTTTAGAGATGGCATCCTCTACTTCATCAATTATAAAAACGTGAATAAAGTAGAAGTGGTAATATTTATTGATTTTCCATAAGATGAAGAAAAATTTAGAATTTGGCATCAATGACTTAGTTATTTGAATGCTAAAAGTATGAAAGACCTCCAATCCATAATAAGTGGCTTGGATCATGGTTAATTTAGCCACAATACCTTAATACTTGCTTATAAAGGATATATACAAGGCAAACAACAAAAAGCTTCATTTCCAAGACAAGTTGCAATACATGCAAGGAAATTATTGGAAATTGTGCATTTTGATATTCATAGACCAATGAAAATACCATCAATTGGAAGAGCAAGGTACTTTGTGACATTTATTGATGATTTTTTAAGAAAAGTGTAGATTTACATCTTTAAAGTTAAGAATAAATATTTTTCAAGATTTAAGGAGTTTAAGGCTCTTGTAGAAAAATAATGTGAGTGCAAGCTCAAAGTGTTATGCACTGATAATGGAGGTGAGTACATATTAAAATATTTTGATGAATTCTTGAAGATTCAAGATATTGTAAGACAATCCTCTATTCCCTAAATTCGACAAAAAAATGGAGTTGCTAAAAGAACAAATCACTTGATTGTAGAAATGACAAAGAATATGCTTTATATATAAAACTTTGGATATGAATATTAGATGGAAGTAGTGATAAATATAGTGTATATAATGAATAAGTACCTAACAAGTACATTCACATCAATGACTTCACAAGAAGCTTGGAGTGGTAAGAAATCTTATATTTCTTACATAAGGATTTTTGAATGCAATGCTTATGTAAAAATATCAGATTATCTGAGGTCCAAACTTGATGCAAAAGATACAAAATATGTGTTTGTTGGATATTATGAAGGTACCAAGGCATATAGACTAATGTATTTACAAACCAAAGAGATTATCAAGAGTGGTGATGTAGAATTTTTGGAACATAAAAGTGCATATGAATACTTGGAGATGTTTTTTTACTAGTATGAGTAATGGTGTGTTTGTTGACATATCTTCAATTTCAGCAAAAAAAAAAAAAAAAGAAAAAGAAAAAAGATGATGACATTGATGATGGTAGAAATTCAAATTAAGATGAAGAACCAAAGAAGGTAGACTATAATATGCCTACTATTGCTAAAACTAGCAATGAAGACTATCAAGATATTGAAAATGATAATATTAATAAATAGTACTAATCTTTGAATGTGAAAAAATAAGTTTTAAGACAGAAGAAGCTCATAAGAAACCTTAGAGTGAAAGAAGGTGAAGCTTCATTAAATGAAAAGAGATATCTTTTGAGAGATAGAAAAAAACTTGGTGCATGGTTGAAGAATCACATCTTTCTTCAAGTAAGTAAAAAACATGCCAATATTACACTCTTTCTTCATCTATTGAGTTTTTGTGATATAATGAAGTCCACAAATGATATGAAGTAGGAAAATGCAATAGAAGAAAAGTAAAAATTACTCATAGATAATGGAACATGGTAATTTACTCAACTTCTATCAAATCGATTTTTAATTGATTGTAAGTAGGTATTTAGAACCAAAAGGGATGCAATAGACAATGTTGTGAGATATAAGTCTAGATTGATTACCAAAGGCTATTCACAAGTGGTTGGTGTAGATTTCAATGAGACAATTATTTTTGTGGCTAAATTCACCACTATTAGAATCATTGTTGCAATTGGAGCAGTAATGGACTTGGAGATGCATCAAATGGATGTGAAGATGACTTTCTTAAATGGAAATCTAAGAGAAGACATCTACATGGAGCAACTTCAAGGATTTGTAGAAGAAGGCAAACAACTTCTTGTTTGTAAGTTGAAGAAAGCCTTATATGGATTCAAGTAATTTTTAAGGAGATGGTATCAACACATTGATACATTCTTTGTGAATGAAAGATTTGAAAGGAGTGAATTTGATTATTTTTTGTATGTGATGCAATCAAATGAGTTCATATTAATTGTCATTTTTTATGTTGATGATTTAATTATCTTAAACAATACTATGAAGATGATGGATTGGTTGAAGGCAAAGTTAGAAAAAGAATATGACATGAGTAATTTGAAAGAGCTTTACTATTGTTTAAGAGTGGACTTTGTGAGAGATCATGCTAAAAAGACCATTACAATGAGCCAAAGCAAATATATTGAAGAAGTGTTAAAACAATTCAATTTGAAAGAATGTAAACCTATTGAAACATCTTTAGAGGCTAATTTGAAATTGATGAAGCTCAAAGATGAAGAATATGCTCAAGTTAAAGGTGAAATACAAGGTATTCTATACAAGATAGTAGTGGATTCACTTATATATGTAATAGTTGGCACAATGATAGATCTTCTATATGCAATAAGTATTATAAGCCAACACATGTCAAAGACTAGACCAATCCATTAAGCAACCATCAAAAGAATCATGAGGTACTTAAAAGACACTTTGCATTTCAAATTGTGCCTTAGAGGTGATAACATTATTTTATATGATTATTGTGATATGGATTGGATTAGAGATGCAAATGATAGAAGATAAATAATTGGATATGTGTTCTTTATTAGAATGGGAGCTATTTCATGGAATTACAAGACACAACCAATAATTGTAAGATCAACAATGGAGGTAGAGTACATGACAGTAAGTCATTTTGCAATAGATACAATATACTTAAGACAACTTTTGGAAGACATTAGAGTATTGTAAATGAAAGTAACTCCAATAGAATGTGATAATTAAGCATGTCTTCTATTTACAAAGAATCCAAAGCATCATTCAAGGATCAAACACATTGACATTTAATATTACTTCATAAGAAAGAAGATTGAAATGAGAGTGAATGATATGAAGTATTGTGCGATGGAAGACATGCTTATTGATTTGTTGAAAAAGGCTCTAGTAAAAGATAGTCATCACATTTTGACAAAGTCATTAGAACTGAAAGCCTTTAAAAATATCAAAGTAAGAATGTTAAAGTATATAAGTAAATATGAAAGTAGAATAAGTAATATTATAGAGGATATTAGTTTACTTAAGTTGCTATTAGTTAAAAGGTTGGCTCTTGATATTTACAATAGATAATAAATAATAGATAAAGTATATAAATGAATCAAGGATCTTAA